CTCTCTCTCTCTCTCTCTCTCTCTCTCTCTCTCTCCCCCCCTCCCCCCCCAACCCCTCTCTAAAACTTAATGGAAAAAATATCCTTGGGTAAGTATTAACAACAACAAAAAAGTTAAAAATATATATGTATACACACACACACACACATATATATATATACACTTGAAGTCATTATTTATGTTGATAATTTAATTTTCCTGTCTTTGTCCAGTGGTATGATAGGATGTTCCTGGCTCACATTGTACATATATATCTAGCCTCAGAACCTGGAATTAGCCATTTCTCTAACCCTGGTTTCTTAAGTGGAAAATGGTGTTTAGAGACCATAATCTGGATACTAGAAGTCACTTGATGCTACTACCATGGTCATTTCTAGATATTTTCAGTGGACAGGAATAGAAGATAAATTTTTCTCAAGATGAAATACATTATGAGTTCAATACTGCCAATTCAGGGTGAGGACTACAGGGATTTTACTTAACCTTCAATCTTACATCAGTATTTCCTTTGTCTTATGCCAAGAATTCCAATTCTCAAAGACACCAAGGGTGACAGAATTAGAAGAGCAAATAATTTCTCATTTTCTTTATCCAACTATATATACAAATTATACTCACAGTAGTCTCAGGTAAAAATAGAACACTTTTGCCAACCATATAATTACTAAAAGTAGCTTATACTTTTGTTCTTAGAATGTATCACACTAGAGAACCAAAGATACCAAAATGATTATTTTTTTGTTTTATCCCACAATTCATACCAAAAACTCTCAGAATAACAACACAAATGCTGCTGATCTCAATAGGGTCACTGAAAGCAGTCTAGGAATTTTCTTTTTGCAATTTTCTTTTGTTATTTGAGGTATCCCAAGGAATGCAGTTTTAAGGTCACTTGAATTAATTCTTTTTTATATGATTATGCCACTAACTCAGTGTATAATGAGGTTTATTTGTTTTGTTTCATTTTTATTTTTTATGAATTGATATTTTTGTACTTAATTTTGCTTCATAACTATGTAAAGTATATGGCTTCCAAGTCAAACCTACAAAACAATTGTAGTTAGGCACCTTCAGTCTCTGTCCCTATCTCTTCTACCCTGTTCCTATAAATAACTCATTTTTCCTTGCCTTACTTACCTTCCATTTTTAAAATGTTTATCTTTTAGATAAACAGCAACATATGTACACAGTGTTTCCACTTTGTTTTTTTGACTTAACAAATATCCTTCATAATTACATGAAGTTGATATTAATATTCTCCACCCCTTTTTATAGCTGCATATTAACCCATTGTCTTTATTTACTGTAATTTACTTAATCAGTCTATTATTGATTGGCATTAGTGAGTTATTTCCAGTTCAGTTTCTATTATAGATTAGAAGTAGTTATAACTATTGTTTTCTCGTTGCAGCAGCAATGGTCACCTGACAGGAATCAGCGTGTCCACATCCCATCCATGCTTCACACCACGTGGAGGGTAATCTTTTCTGACCTGGTTATGTCACCCCACCCCTAATTGACCCCT